ATAAGGAGGTCAAGACAGCATGTTGCGGAAGTGACGAATACGATGGCTTTTCATCTCTCGGAAAAGGCTTACCAGCTAGCAAATCTACAAGCTGTTTTGGAGTGGGAGTCCCAATGTTACGGTTCCTTACAGTCTCAAAGCACTAATCAAATCATCAATTTGATATATATATATCATTTGTACAAAGTGTAAAAATTTACTTATATATAATTTTTATATATTATATTGATACAAAATTTTAATTATTCATCTTTAAATAAATTTGATTCCCTTTTATGTAATTAATTACTAACTAGAAACAATCAATCTTAGAGCCGCTTTGGGCAGGAATTTTTTGTTATGAGTTTGTGCTACATGGCAAGCTAATCCGCTAATGTGGACTTCCGTATGCTTAACCACCAAATGATGGATTTTTTTATAATAACAATAATTTATTTATTTTGACTTTAGTGTTTTATTGTTTGATTGCAAAATACCAGTTATTGAACGAAAACACTATCTCCAATTTTATAAAGAGCATCTTCTAATCTAATATTTAGTATTTTGCATTTTATAATAATCATCTAGATTATTTAAATTATAAAATACATTTTTTATATTTATAAAAAGTCACGTAACATCTGCACTATAAAAATTAGCATTATCACATGGGTAAAGAACTCACCACCATGTGAAATGGACCTGAAAGTTACAGGACCATGCTGCGACTACGAAGGAGGAGAGACTAAAGCAAAAACCAAATGAGGAAGCAATGCAAGGGGCCAAGTGTTGAATAGTTGGTTGAATAGTTGGAAAAGAAGAAAATCTCACGATTTGAGAAAAAAAAAAAAAAAGGAAATAAAAGAGATTTATATGTTTATTTTTTATTTAGAAACAATTATAAAAAATTGGAACTTATAGTTTACGAGTTTTGAGTTTAAGTATTACCCTTTTATATTATCATTTAGATCAACATTTAGACATTTTTTTAATTAATTTTAAAATTTTAAACTTAATTTAATATTTTTTTAATATTAAAAAGATATGTATGAAATTTAAAACACAATTTTTTATAGTTAAAAAGTACCTTTTGTAATGATTTTTTTTTTTTAAAGGATACATCCCTTCAACTGTTGTTTTTTGTAATGACATATTCTTTCAATTGTTGTCTATTTGATTAATATAAATTCTTTAAACAAAGTTTATATTTTACACTTAATGAGAAAATTTTTGAATTTTATTGTATACTTAAAAAAAATTTTAATTTTTAAACAAAGTCAGATAACGACCCAAAATTGTCTAATTCTTCTAGTTTCTTAACTTTTTCTAACACCAAGAAAGAAACTATCCAGATCAATCAATCTCAGAGCTATAATCAAGGAATGATATGTGCAACGGTCAAGCAACCTTGCTCCCCTTAATCCTAGGCAAAACAAATGAATCTAACGTGTAATTATAAATCAAAAATATATTACGTAGTTAGAATTATTATGAAATACATTATTTTAATTATTAAATAGGAGTACGGTTATTAATATTGTAGACTCTATTTTTATTTAATAATTTTTATTTAATAATTTAATATAATTTATATTATAAAATAAAAAACTAATTACAAATATACTTCTGTACTCTTGTATGGTACACATACTAAATGCAACTCAGTATTACTTTTAAGTCCTTTATACTTTAGTCTTCTTCGATCAACTCTGACAAAATAAAGAATTTAAGAACCATAAAGGAAGTTTAGGAAAAAAACACATTCTCGCACTCGCTAGGCCCACTACAAACAAATTGGGCGCCGAAACTATTGCTATTGGCTCTAAGTCTCGTCAAGGGCATAAATATATGATAATATTATTTATTTATTTTTAATCTTATGTTATAAAATAAAAAATATTATTATTTTATTTTTTAATCTATTTTATTGATATATTATGTGATTTAAATTTAATATTTTTTATTTATATAAAAACAATACAATCTACAATATTATAATAAGTTAAATAATTTAATAATGATATATTTTTTTTAAATATAAAAAATTTTAAATTTAAATTATGTAATATATAAGTAAAATAAATTGAGAGGTAAAGTGTCTTCTATCATATAATTAAAAATTATAAAAAAAAAGAGGATAATCTACAATATTATTTGTTTAAAGGTATCATGTACAGCTGTATGGGAACACTGTAATTTGGATAGAAATCTTGTCGCCAAAAGTTTCACAATTCGATCGACAGAAAATCAAAGTCAACAAATAAAACAATAAGACAGTGGATAAAAAGGAAAAGGAAAAAGAAAAAGCTAAAAAAAGAAAAAAAAAAACCAATGATATAAGTCTAAGGATGAGCAATTTTTAATATTACTAAGAAAAACTATATGTGTCAAAGGTTAGCTAATTGAGCACCATCTTCCCCTGATAAAGTTAGCCACCAACTCCAAATATTTTCATCTGGTGCAAAAAATATCGGACATGATCTTCTATTTTTCCTCATTTCTCTGTTCCTTTTAATGCGAATCTGAATTAAGTGATAAGTAAAAAGAAGAATCTTAATAAAATGTATGATTCAAATCCCTCGATTACCTTGTAAAAATAAAGCAATTTTTACAAGTCAAATCTGTCACTTAATATTTGCCCCCCATATATATATATACACGAACAAGATAATTTACAAATGGGGAAAATAGTTAGATACCCAAAATAGTTTTTTGTTTAATATTTTAAAATACTTAAAACTTAAATAATTTAGTGATTATCTGTTTTTGTTGAAAATAAAAGGTATTGAATTTAAGTCGCATGGTATGTAGATAAAATTAGATATAAAAAAATAATTATCTATCATTACACAATTAGAATAAAAAAAAATTTCAAAATAATATAACCGGTCCGTTATGTGCTATTCATAATCCGCCATTTTATCTAGAAACTAAGGAATATTCTAAGATGGCTCGGAAAAGTTTTTTTTTTTTTAATTTAATGCCTGCCGCATGGTTAGACTG